GGTACTTACATAGGAGTTGTAGTGTCCCAATGCGCAATGGCGTATTTGACACCATTCACCAATAATCCTAAAGTACAACTTCATACTATTTTTAAATACTCGATTAATTTTAAAACAACTGTAAATTAGGATTTTCGGTTGCTTGTTATTGTAAAAAAAGACAAAATAATGAGTATTGTCCTACAAAATCAATGGGAGAGTTTTGTTTTTACAGTTTTATACAGTACGTCAGTTGATTGGTGGTAACAAATACTATATTTTTATTCCCCTGAATATAATTTGCTCCAGCAATTTCCCGAGGTAGACCAAAATGGACGGACGGGAATTATGCATAATTAAGAATATATTACACGGCGCATTGGATATCTCATTGCAATTGCCTATAATTTGCCAATAGTCGGATAATTCAGATACGCGTGCGGCATAATAGAGGCGTTAAAAAAGTACGCAACACTCTCTTCGTAAAATTATATTTAAAAGTAGTAAAAGTTAATATTATTACCTTTTTGCTTTGCCACCGTACTTAAAAATCAACAACTTAGACGCACTGTCGTTTGTCACCACTTCTATGGTGTGACACTAGCACTTCACTGCACTCCTGTACCGGTTCTCCATCACATCAACTTATCTTCGCCATGGCCACACTATCCGATGTGCAACAGCTCCAGTCATCTCTTGAGGCTTCACTGCACCAGCGCATGAGTGACTTCGAATCACAACTCAAGACCTCCGCTGAGCCCTCATCGCTTGTACGGCTGTATGAAGAGTTCAGGGCGTTCAAGGAAACTGTTCATGGCATCCTGCAGCTGTTACGCAAGCAAATATGTGAGCTTTCTAAAGTCACAGATGCACTGGAGATGAGGCATCGTCGAAAGTGTCTACTGTTTGGTGGTATAGCGGAGGATCCTAAGGAGCAGACCACCGCTGTGATAAGTGACATCTTGTGTGAGCGTTTTGACATGAAGGACATTAGCTCCTCTACATTTGCTGCATGCCACAGGCTTGGATCCGCATCTAAGGGTCGCACACGACCCATTTTGGTCCGGTTTGTGGACCACTCCATAAAGTCAGCGGTGTGGAGAAAGAAGACTGTCCTGAAGGGAACCTCTACTGTACTGTCGGAATTCCTCACACGTCCAAGGCAAGAACTTTTTATGGAGGCACGCAAGCGGTTTGGCATCACAAACTGCTGGACACTTGACGGCAACATCTACGCCAAGTTGCCGGGTGGGATGCGTCGCCAAATTCATAATGTGACACAAGCAGCGACAAGCAGCCTGTTCCTGCCGGACCGGCTAGAGAGAGTCCAGCTACAGCGGACAAGAGGAGCAAGACCGCGTCCACCTCGGCCCCGCAGCGCTCCAAACGTACGGTCACCAAACAGGTTGCCGGGAAATGATAACTACCCGACAGTACTTGTTTTCACTGTATTGGCTCTGGAGGTACCTATACCCACATTTTATTCTTACTTAATTCAATGTTTACCTATCGTTTATGACTTCTTTCCACTTTTAAAATATATTTCTACACCCATTTATTTACCATCACCTATCAATTTTGACATTGACAATACTACTGTTTGTCAATGTGACATTAGTACGTTTCGTTCGGAAACTCAGGTACGTTTCGTTTCGCGTAAACATTTTTTTTTTATATATAAGTTTTGTAATCTTGTTTAATCAAAGTGTTGTTATTGTAATTTCTTTTAATAAGTCGAGTACCTCCGAGCTATTTTTTTTTTTTCTTTTAAATGTTTCGATTTGATAAATTTTTTTTATCTCTTTTGTAAACCGGCAGACCCGAGTGCAGTGAATATTGAATATTGAAATATTTTATTATAATTTAATTAGTGTAATTATTATTATTAGTGTATTTTATAGATTAACGAATATTTTTATTTTTATATGGATGACGAATCTTTCTTCTCAGCTCACGATTCCCCTTTATCTGACGACGATTCCTTCTGTGATACGCTAACTCTTGGAGATGCGTTAAATCATAAATTTACGAACTCTAAACGTTTTTTTAATGTTTGCCATGTTAATGCCCAAAGCATTCCTTCCCACTACGCTGACGTCCTTGAGACTTTCTCCGCTGATGATCTACATGCTGTCCTCGTGTCTGAGAGCTGGCTCAAGCCCTGCCTCGAGTCCACATCATACTCTCTTCCTGGATTTATCCTAATCAGAAATGATCGGACTGGTAAGGGTGGTGGTGGTGTCGCTATATACCTGCGCAGTGATATCCCGCATAAAGTGCTGAGCATGTCGCCATCTCCCTACAGTGCGTCCGCCGAGTTTCTATTCATTGAGGTCAGCGTGAAGGGCGTCAAGGCTGTCCTTGGAGTGGTATACTGCCCTCCAGGTGTAGACTACTTCCCACAACTTGAGTCTGCTTTGGAACCCATTTGTTCGGATTACATGCATCACTTAATCATGGGCGACTTCAACACCAATCTTCTTGTCAAATCTTCCTCTTCCACCAAATTAACTTCCTTGGTCACTTCTTTAAATCTCTCCATTCTTCCTCTACAGCCCACTCATCACAACATTGATTCCCCAGATACTTGGTTGGACCTTATCCTCACTTCTTCGCCTGAGGGTGTTATTGCACATGGCCAAATTGCTGCACCTGGTTTCTCCCGCCATGATTTAGTTTACGTGACCTACAGGCTCCACACAACCAAGCAAAAACCGGCCACGGTGTTAATGCGTAACCTCGCTAAGGTGGATGCAGATGCCATTAAGCGCGATGCAGCATCGCTTGACTGGGAGCCTGTTGTGTCTGCGTCGACTATAGACGATAAGGTAGCCCTATTTAACTCCAATCTGCTGTCTCTATATGATGTGCATGCACCGCTGCGGCCTGTAAAACTGAAACGTCTTCCTGCCCCTTGGATCTCGAGGGGGGTAGGCTATCACTTCACTGTACATCCAATTAACAGAACGAAATCTAGGTAACTGGAACTGCAAGAATCATGCAACGGTGACAAATACCTACTCCTTTTCTAAGATAGTACCTATACAACTTGCGAAGTTGAATATAATCCTTGCACAAGTTTAATTTCTCTTGGGCCGAGCGTAAGAACTTCCCGACTTTTAGATAGCAGGATCTATTTTAAACAGTCGGAATCCATATTTCATCGAGCTGTATTTAGACGTCTAGAAATACATAGTGATGTGCATTACTGCATTGAAAGCGTAATCGAAATGAAAATTAATAATCAGCTCCCGAATTTATTCTAGGAAATACTTATAGCATTCGGAAGTCTGAATGCTTACTTATAAGTTGGTACCCACGTACTACATAATGTTCTCGAGGGAAATTGAGGCTTGAAATAATTTAGCTACTGAATTTCTTTGTCTTTTTTATCGATAAAATACCAAGACTGTTTAGTACCTACTACATTGTGGCCAAAAAAACAACAATGTTCTTCCGTCAAGTATTTCAAATTCACCCAGCCATTAGGGTTTATGTCCTAAAATACGTTTCCAAAACTACATGCTCTTGATTTATGTGACAAAATATAGAGTTTAATCCTAAGTGCTTCACTAAAGCACACCACATCACTAGAGCTAGGGTCGCTAGGAGCCGTTATTAATTTCGGTTCTTCGTTCCCGCGGCTTTCCTTAAGACGGAATTAATGCGCAGTACGTCTCCTTTGTTTGTGAAATGTTGCCACTATTTATTTATCCCGTGGAACAAGGATTAAATGTGTGTTTTAATATTTATTACTTTTAGCAGGGGACTAGATTTTGATGTAATGTTGTGTGAAGTAGACTACTTATTATGGTGTAATTAATTAATCACGGTAATGTAACGAAGTATTGTATACTTTTTTAATAAACTCCTGTTTACTTACTAGTAATTGTCTACTTTTACAAAAAGTGGCCCTGGAAACGGAACCCTAAAAATAAACCATTCGGAAGGACGTTTTTAAATATTGAACTAATGAAATACCCATCATATAAGAAAAAAATAATGCACCTCCTGCACCTTTCATTGTGTAACTAAGTTGTAAAACTATACAAAAGATTCATTACTTTCCCTTTACTATTATTAAACTCTTGCATAACTCATGCAAAATTGAGTTTTCTGTTCACAAAGCGCGAGTTGGAAGTTTGGAAACTTCGTGAGCCGGCGTCGGACACCGGCGGCGACAACGGGACATAATTGCTGTTCGCGACAACTTTTAAGCGCGATTCAGGTGTTAATGTGTCGCCATCTGTTGGTGATTGTTTGCAAATTTTAAGGTATCATCTTGAGCGTTGAGCGCACATTTTTCATCGAGTGAACTTTTATGGGGAGAGCTAAAGTTATAAGTTTGTCGTATAAGTAGAAAATGCCACCCAGTATTTGCTTTTATTAGCACTGAATAAGATTTACGGGAATTCTTGAGAATCGTACAAAGAACCCCAAACATATGCCTCCAACAATATAGCGCTTTGAATTGTTGTATTGTAGTTGTAGTAATGAAGCCAGTTTTACCATTACTTATGTTGAAAAGCTTTTCACAAAAGCCTTATTTTGCTCTCAATAAAGACAGCTAAGATACCTAGTTAGTTATGAGGTATCTGATAATCGCCAGATGAAAGAAAACTAAGCCGTGCTCATCCTTAGTTGGGGTTACCTGAACATAAACTGGATTTTTCTTATTTGAGAAATTGTGTGATTTTAATTAGAAACATTCTTTAATATGGAATTCTGGTATTATATTGTGTACATTTTTGTAGCTTTTTAGCACTGCCTACTCAATATCTCTGTTTTGCTCAAGGTCAGCTGGTAGAGAATGACGTATGGCATTAAGCTCGCCTTTTTGTACAGAACATTGTTGTGTGTGCAATAAAGTCTTTAAATAAAATAAATAAATAAATAAATGCTTCCATATCAAAAATCATTTATAAAATAAAATAGGTATTAGATCATCAGATACACGCCCCTTACGTTAATTTCTCGAAAAAGTAGTTTCCTAGAACCTACCTCTACGATTGATAATGGAGAAGCTTTCCGCGACCTTAACTAGGCTGTTTGCCTATTAAAGGGCGTGCACTTACCATGCTAGCGTTCTCCGCGGCATACATCGACGTGAAGTCGAACAGTGCCACGTCTGGTTCCCCGTAGTGGTTGAGGGCGAAGTCTCTGAGCGGCAGGCGGCCGTCGGTAGAGAACCGAGCGGCTTCCTGTGCGTACCGCATGAGAGCGCCGCGGTCTACGTTCTCCACGCTCAGTAAGCGGGAGACTTCGGCGAAATCCTGCAAGATGTGGTCAATAGTGGTAAGCTTGAGCAGGGAAATTGTGAACAATGTTGGGAGTTACATTTAAAAAGGAGCAGCCAACACACAGATTAAAAGCACATATTATTGACATACCTACTCATAGTAGTGCAATTTCAACTTATAGAATGTTTGAGCGTCGATTCAATATTCTAAAAATGGCATTCGCTTGAATGAATGAATGAATGAATTTTTATTTTATGAATTTTATGAATTTTTACCTCTGTTCAAACTCAAACAACCAGTTTATGCCTGCCTGTGATTCAAACAATTTTTGAACTTATTCAACTTTTAGTAGTTCTGGAAAAGTTTCTAAAGCGATTGGAAATGTTCTTACTCGTACTTAACTAAAATTGAATCAACATGACAAGTATAAAATTCGTCTGTCGCCAATGCGTATATTTTCGATTACTAGATCATCAATCGATTGAAAATAAACTTCGCGTTAGCTTTTACTCCAATCCACATAATTAACACATAAACAAATTCGCAGAGTTTAATTTAAAACGTGTAATAATAAATTACAAAAAAAGATTGTGCACGGCCAATGAACATGGTATGTACAAACCAGGAGCGCTATGTAAATTATAGCCTGACCAGAAACATAAAAACCCTGGCATAGAGGCGCGTCAATTGCATTTGATAGTGCAACACTGAGTACAGTCGTACCTGTGTTAAATTAATAGGGTAACTTTATGTATCAGGATTCAGAATTACGGGCTAATTTGATATTTTCATAAATTAACGAAAAAATATTATTATAGGTAACCTGGTTTAAATAAATTAAATGAAACCATCAATCGAGCTAGTAGGATTTATTTTATTATTCATCAATAATAAAATTCAGAACTTGAATATTCAACTGCAATGTCTGCTAAGAACGCTTCAAACTCGGTACTTCTTTCCCAATTCCATAAAATTCAACACTTAAAAAGTGACAAAAAACTTTAAAATAGGTAGTTGAAACAAACCACAGCTAATTTTCATAGTTGACTGTACTATACGATAAACATGTCAGTCAATTTGACAACCTTTGTCGGAAACATTATTCAATGAAAATATTGTCCGAACCCTTAGTNGGCGCGTCAATTGCATTTGATAGTGCAACACTGAGTACAGTCGTACCTGTGTTAAATTAATAGGCTAACTTTATGTATCAGGATTCAGAATTACGGGCTAATTTGATATTTTCATAAATTAACGAAAAAATATTATTATAGGTAACCTGGTTTAAATAAATTAAATGAAACCATCAATCGAGCTAGTAGGATTTATTTTATTATTCATCAATAATAAAATTCAGAACTTGAATATTCAACTGCAATGTCTGCTAAGAACGCTTCAAACTCGGTACTTCTTTCCCAATTCCATAAAATTCAACACTTAAAAAGTGACAAAAAACTTTAAAATAGGTAGTTGAAACAAACCACAGCTAATTTTCATAGTTGACTGTACTATACGATAAACATGTCAGTCAATTTGACAACCTTTGTCGGAAACATTATTCAATGAAAATATTGTCCGAACCCTTAGTATTTCTCTTCGACAAATACTTTAACACATTGTGAACCACTTTTCTTTCACGACTATAAAAAGATTTTAGCAATTTATTCACAAAATCAATTGCGCACATTTAAAATAAAGTTTGTTTACACCACAGATATGGATTGTTTACACTATGACAGCAATAAACTGACATGCAAGGTGACATTATAATGAAGTTTTCAGTTACTGTTGCCATTAAAAGAAATTAGTACCATTAGTTTTCCGCAACATGGCGAGGGTTTTTATGTTCCTGGTCAGGCTATAATACATGTTTATTTTTAAAATGAATATATAATAGAATAGAATTACGTCCAATGACCCCAAGCTACCCATCCTTATCGTTCGCGCGTAATTGTATTGCTGTCGCACTCGTACACTCACTGCTGCCACCCGTCGCACAGTCGCGACAGCAATATAATTACGCGCGAGCGATAAGGATAGGTCATTGAACGAAATTCTACGTGCTTGGCGACCAGAATTTAGTACATAATAGTACTTACGTTTAGTAGCACCCCTTTGTCAAGCAGGCTGTGCTTCTTAGCGGTCATGACGAAGTAGTGTGTGTCGTCTTTGTAGTAGACGATGTTCTCCAGGTCGATGCCCGTCACCTCGTACAGCTCCTTGAAGAACTTCTGGTTGAAAATGAACGCCACGCCGCTTATCTCTGGCACCTGGGGAAGAAAATTATTTCTTCAATTATAATTTAGCTCAAACAAAATATTTAAGTGGACTTTTTCGTTTCAGCCAAATGACGTCCACTCCTGGACAGTTTAGATCTTGAGATGATGCTTGATCCCTCTTGAAGGTAGTCTTATTAAATGAAAGGTCTTAGCGACTGGAATTAATATTGAGCACTCACCGAGGCCTCCTGCTCCGAATGCCGGTTGATGAAGTTGGCTGTGATGGCCATGGCGAGCTTTCCACGAAACTCCTTCCTCTTGAAGCCGCTCAAGGTGTTCCTTTTGCCGTCAGCGCCCAGGAGTACATCGAACTCGTACTGGCACACGGGGTGGTCGGCCGGCGTCACGCGCGCTCGCCATCCCAATGCTAGGAAGAAATCACTTATCAGAAATGGTTCAATACTTCAGACAGCCTGGAGACAAGAAGATTACTTCAGATGAAGACGCCGATCACTAAGGGACTCCAAAATACACTGGCCCGGATGAAGATGCGGCTCTAAAGCGATTCAGACTAAATCTAAATACTGACGAGATGCAATCCTTCAAATGCGCGGGCAGCGAACGCATTATGCACTTACCGGACGAGGCACCTACGCGTCGCCGCATTATACAGTCAAACGCAAAATATGCAATACATTAGGTGTGGTCAGCGAGAATAACTGTAGGTGATAACTGACGTTTTGATTTGAATAAATTTGATGCTATGAACTATTCAACGTTTTATAATGACGGAAAACCAGTGATGTATACAAATGGCAGGATATGAAGATTTTTACGACTACATTTGCTAAACTGACTGAATACTTAGTCTATTTTTTATGAAACAGCTCAATTTAGTTTTCGTAATATTTTATCTTGTTTAGATTGCTTTGTCATATTGGAGTCAGCTGTAGATGACAGACANTGACGATAACTTCTAAACTATGAAAAATCGTAGAACATACATGGGGGTGAAATCGATAGGTCTAGTCCTCACCTATCACCTGCCTTCGGCTTGACACCTTACAAGAAACACCCTGTATAATGAAATTTATGCAATAATAGAGGAAATGCATGAAGCTGGTATTATAAAAGATATTAAATATACAGTGTGTCCGGGCATGTAGTGATCAAACTTTAAGGGCGTAATCTATGGACAATTTTATCGATGAAAATAATTCAAATTTAGAGCTTGAGCCATTTCTCGCAAAATTACAAGGATTTAAGTTTTGAATTTTAAGTTTTCACCTCTTCCTTCAAAAACAAGTGATAGCGTGGGTAGCTTAACACTAATGAGCAAAAAATTTATATCATGCGATATCCAATAAAATTATCTATTAGCAGAAGTAGAAAACAGATACAAGTTTCATACATTTTAAGGGAGTAAGAATGGATTTAATTAGAAAAAAATATGACTTTTTTCACTTCTTTTTCAGTTATTTTCCAACACAAGAAAAACCAGGTCATTAAGGTATGTTTTATTTGCATTTTATTATTAGTATTTGAGCTATTCTACAAAACGAATGTAAATTTATTAGTCTACGTCTATTAGTTTCTACGTAATTGTCGAACAAAGATACCCCTTCCCACCCCTTTCCATAGTAATCGGAATAGGTTGTGTGGTTCTTTCAGGCAGTGCATTTTCGCATGTCGCCTGCACTATGGAAACCGCTGGGAAGGGGTATCTTTGTTCAATAATTACGTCGAAACTAATAGACATAGACTAATAAATTTACATTCGTTTTGTAGAATAGTTCAAATACTAAAAATAAAATGCAAATAAAACATATCTTAACGACCTAGTTTTTCTTGTGTTGGAAAATAACTGAAAGAAAAAAGTCATGTATTTTTCAAACTAAATCCATTCTTAATCCCATAAAATGTATGAAACTTGTGTCTGTTTTCTTCTTCTACTAATAGATAATTTTATTGGCTATCGCATGATATAAAATATTTGCTTATTAATGTTAAGCTACCCACACTTTCACTTGTTTTTGAAGGAAGAGGTGAAAACTAAAAATTAAAAACTTAAATCCTTGTAATTTTGCGATAAATGGGTCAGGCCCCAAATTTGAAGTATTTTTATCGATAAAATTGTCCCTAGATTTCGCCCTTAAAGTTTGATCACTACATGCCCGGACACACTGTATAAAGCTTCCAACGGGAGGGTTTGGCAGTACCATTACACTACAGAAGCCGAGCAGACGGCAATGAATATAGATAAATTTGGTCACCACGTTCATAAGCGTTTACGACTGTCTGAATTTGCGAATATTCTTCTTCTTCTTCTTCTTCTTTGGTTTATGGCGATGAACTTGCGTTTTTTCGCCACTGAGGGCACACTATTCCGCCAATGTCACGTGCGCAGCTTTTACACAGTGGTTGTTGTAAATATATATAATAATAATATAATAATAAAAATAGAAAATTTTGTAGCTGCAATCTAAGCAAACTTATATACCTAAAACAAACAGACATCACAAATAAGACAACACAATACGTGAAAATAAAATATAAAAAGAACAAACAATTATGGGAGACAAAAAAAGGGATGTTGTTGTTGCAGTGCAGGTGACAAATTAGGCTCTTCGAGCTATGTGCCCCGCCCACTGCCACTTGATTTTAGCGATTCTGCGGGCTATGTCAGTCACTCTGGTTCTCCTACGGATCTCCTCATTTCTGATTCGATCACGCAGGGAAACTCCGAGCATAGCACGCTCCATCGCTCTTTGGGTGACCTTGAGCCTTCTTATGAGGCCCATAGTAAGCGACCACGTCTCAGAGCCATACACCATCACTGGCAACACACACTGGTCAAATACTTTTGACTTGAGACACTGCGGTATTTCGGACGTGAGAATTTCGCGAAGCTTCCCGAACGCTGCCCAGCCGAGTTGGATTCGACGATTAACCTCTTTCTCGAAGTTGGACCTACCTAACTGGACTGTTTGTCCCAGGTATACATAATTGTCAACAACTTCGAGTGTAGTGTCTCCAACCTTCAGAGGAGTGGGTACAACACGGGCATTTGACATAATTTTTGTCTTGTCCATGTTCATTTTAAGACCCACTTGTTGAGAGGCTCTACTGAGGCCATCGAGCATTGTGTTTAGGTCCTCCACGGTCTCAGCCATGACTACGATATCGTCCGCGAAACGAAGGTGGGTGATATACTCGCCGTTGATATTTATGCCGAATCCGCTCCAGTCCAGAAGCTTGAAAACATCTTCCAGGGCGGTGGTGAACAGTTTCGGAGATATGACATCTCCCTGTCTCACCCCTCGCTGCAACTGGATAGGTTTCGAGTTCTGATCCTGGAGGCGGACCGACATTGTGGCGTTTTCGTACAAGCCCTTCAGCGCTTCGATGTATCTATAGTCAATTTGGCACCGTTGGAGAGACTGTAGCACTGCCCAGGTCTCGATCGAGTCGAAGGCTTTTTCATATAATCGTTCATCAGTTTATACTTAATTTATAGTATTATACAATGTGTCCGGGCATGTAGTAATCAAACTTTAAGGGCGTGATCTATGGACAATTTTATCGATGAAAATACTTCAAATGGGGCTTGACCCATTTCTCAAAAAATTACAAGGCTTTAAGTTTTTAATTTTTAGAATTCACCTCTCTCTCTCTTCCTTCAAAAACAAGTGACTGCGTGGGCACCTTAACACTAATGAGCAAATATTTTATGTCATGCGATAGCTGATAAAATGATCTATTAGTAAAGTAGAAAACAGACACAAGTTTCATACATTTTAAGGAAGTAGGAATGGATTTAACAAAACATGACTATTTTCACTTCTTTTTCAGTTATTTTCCAACACAAGAAAAACCAGGTCGTTAAAGTATGTCTTATTTGCATTGTATTATTAGTATTTGAGCTATTCTACAAAACCAATGTAAATTTATTAGTCTACGTCTATTACTTTCGAAGCTATTGTTGAACAAAGATACCCCTTCCCAGCCGGTTCCATAGCGCGGCTAGTCATGTAGTCGGAGTAGGTTGTGCGATTCTTTCAGGCAGTGCATTTTCGCATTTCTTTATTTTTCCCTCAAAATATGAGCCTTGTTAGGAAGTTTCGGTTTCGGTTTCGGTTTCGGCCGAAATAGACACCGTTGCCGAAATTCGTTTTCGGTTTCGGTTTCGGTCGTAAAACTAGTTTCGGTCGGACACTACCACAGTATAATCAAAATAGATTTGGATGGTTTCAGAAAAAAAGAGCTCTTTTTTGGCCCAAACGATATTATTACTTGTACAAAAAAAGGTAATTACAATATTTCTTTATGTAATAGAGAGATAGATATTTATATTTACTACATAGCACCAAACAACATGGAAACGGCATAATTTAACCGTTTCAATATTAATTTCTTTTATCTCATAAAGTGCAATAAATTCGTTGCCGCTGTGGCTAATATTGTAAAAGCATATAGCAATCTTCGGTCAATATTTAAAAAGTACCGTATATGTAGCAATTTTCCTCTAAAACAGAAGCCAAAACAGTGTATGTAGAGGCACAATGTTCGCAAGAGGAAACTTTAAATTCATCAGCGTGCAAACCAATTTCGCCGCCGGTTTTCAATTTGGCCCCAATCACGAGAGCCGCATTGGCTCTACGTCAAAGGCTACGACATTTCAACTTTGTAAGACGAACAGCTATTAGCTTACTTTCTACTGGATCGATGTGAAAGGAAATTCATTAAACCCTGTCGTCTGTTTTCTTTTCTTTTTCCGTCTTTTGAATGTAAGTACGAGTATGTTGTTAATTTCCAACAGTGATTAATATTTTTTACTTTCAACATGTAGATATGCAAGATTGACTATGTATTCAAACTTAGGTATGTACTCCTAAACACGGTTAAATAAATAATACTTATGTAGTAGGTAATTTTAACCCTAAGGTACCAATGTTTCGGGACCTGGAATTCTCAGACTAAAAGCACTAGAAACTAAGTCAACATTGTTAAACCCTTGTGCAAAGATTTAAAATAATTAAATATGAAAACTACAATGTCAATTGCCTCATTGTTTTTTGAAAAGGATACAAGAGCTTAGTACATGAGTAATATTTAAATGAGTTAATGTATCCGCGGCCTTAGCGCCTGCATCGAACTCGATCTGCAGTTGAATGTTCGGCGTGTGAATGTTTTTATATGTACCCACTTTTGTGTTCGCGCGTTTACATAATTAATATTTTTGTTGAATTGTATTTTCTCTGTAAGTGATTTTTGTAATCTTTTGAGAAAATAAACATCTTAAACCATAAGTTATTGCTCCTAACTCACATACCTAGAAAAACACTTGAAGCCGTATAAAGAGCCAGCGATGCCAGTTTTTTTTTCGCCAAGTCGGGACTTTGGTACTTTTTGAGTGAAAATAGCGGGATTCTTCCGTCAGAAGCGGGACATAGTAAAAAAACGAATAATCAAAGGTTTTCAAATATTTATCTTTTTATTTGACTTAAAATTACGTTTACGTGACAATAGATAGCAAAAGTAGCTATAGAAAATGTATTTTAACAATAAAAATAATATTTTAAATCAGATTTAGTACGTACGCCACGTACGGTCGAGTTCTCTCCGAAAAGCGGGACCGAGCCTGTCCCGCTTAAAAATCGGGACGT